ATAAATTTTTGGTATGTCAAGTTTTCTAATTAGTTTCACCAAAAAGTTTATTTATTTTGTATTTGCGATTTTAATTGGTTCCTTGTTTAATATATCTATTTCGGCCATAAATAATTTATATTTATGACAATATGTTGTTATACACGATTTAGCAGTGAAAACTCACAGTTTATATCATTTTGAACACTAAGAACTTTTTAAACAGATACGAAGGATCCTTTTAAAAGTAAATACCGCTTGTCGCATACCGCGGCCGGGGTTTTTGCAGTGGCGGCCGGTCGCGGCCCATTTGACTCCGGATGCGGTAACACTAGATGGGGGCACGACCTATTTCTGTGCACTTTTTGCTGGCGCTACCTCCCCGCCCCCGTTCCGTTCTGCGCCGATGCAAATACTGAGTCCTCGAAAACGTCTCTTCCCTTACAATTTAGTATTACAAAAGCATTCTTTTGTTTAATTCTATTCAACAATATAATAATCGTTCGGGTATTGAATACGAAAATAATAATTACCAACCATTATCATCTCTGCACTGCACATTATCACATACATATCTGGACCATATAGAGATAAACATATTACCTCTATGTATATGTATACTATGTTTATGTATTTATTCCCCTGTTATTCTTACACATATCCTCTTTTATACAAGATGTCTGATGATCGATTCCTTACCTTTGTTGTCTACTTTTACCGCGGTAGACATATACACATTCAGTATTAGTTATTTTATAATTTATTTAATAAAGGAGGATATATTGTTGAAGATAAGAACGCTTTTCAATTAATAATATTTAGAATTGCAAGCTGTCGCCCACGACACCGTTTGCGCGGAATTAAAAAAAACTCAATTAGTAGACCATGTGTTCTTTTATAGTATGTTCTACATCTATGCCAAATTTCAGTGAGATACGTTTAGACGTTTAGGAGATACCTAGTAACAAACACATCCATCCATTTATAAACTTACGCAGTTATATTTTTTAAATAAATAATAATATTGATTAGTAAATTGTAAGATGGTACAGCCATGTAATACGGGCATAAGAAAATAAACTTCTAAAATTGTATTTTATAATATGGAGCTGCACTAGGCTCTAGTACTTATTCCGTCGTAGCTACTATATACATATGTATATACCACCTAGTTATATTACGAGAAGAAAACAATATACGGAACTTTATTTATTACCAGTGTTCATTTTTAACCATGAAACAGGCTACTTATCGCTCTACGAAGGCATCTGTGTGTTGGCCAAAATACTCACTTCAATAATCATAGCAGCGAATGAAACCTTGCACAAACTGAAAGATGACACGTTGTTAGAGTTAGAATAGACCTCTGTATTACAAAATACCTCATTAAGTATCAAACAATCTGCACATTTAACTATTACAACACGACGCAACATCTTTGTAACTTTAATATTACACCTTTATTATAGGTGGATGTTTTCTTGAATACTTGACCTCTAGACTTGTTTGTTTCAAACACGACGATGCGCGTCGTTATTTATGAACGTAAGGACTAAAAAGACTAAAATTAATGTAAAGCTAAGTCTTGCACGCAATTCCCTTGTCATGAATTATAATGTTAGCCTTTATTTTATATCAGAATAACGATATAAACGGTCGAATCCCAGCTGTCGCGTAATTTGTTACAGCTTTCACTAATTCTTAAGTATATAAACAAGATAATAAGTTTTTTGATTTGTTGTTAGTCAATGTACTAAATTGTGGTCCTTAGAAAGACGATCAGTAAACAAACGAAGCGCTATGGATTTAGAATATTATGAGGCTGCAGGAAATCCGTGTATGGAATGGATCCGTGTGTGGATTTAAAAAAGGCTGACATTTAATTCACATAAATGGATACCTATTCTTAAAGAGCACATATGTGTTCTCTTATGTTTTCAAGAGCCAACTAAAGTCATCGAACGAGTATTCCCGGTTTTATTAAATAGGAACTAAGAGACATAAATTCGATGAAACTCTCCAACTCGCTTCCGAGAATTATTTATACCAATAAAACAAAAGCCTGAATCCAAGACCATCCCGTTATGTGACTCTATATCGCTATCCTTTTCAATTACACAATATCAATATATCGTTGCGTCCCTCTTACACTTCAATGGTGACTACCGGATTTCAGGCGTGCAGGAGCGTGGGACCAGTTTTTATGCACCGACCACAACAAAGACATGCCTACAGAATCCGAATTCAAGAAGATGGCAGTCAAGGTATTCAGAAATAAATAAATATGGTAGTAAATACCTAAGATGAACAATAGTGTTGCTCATGACGATCAGTCACCCGGTGCCCGCGGAAACTGGTTCCTGGAGAGATGCACGGTCACTCCAAATGTGTACTGATGCGTCATTATAAAAAAAAATATCGAAGATACCCGCAATATTTGCGATAAACCATAACAAAAATGCACTTCGACCCGTTTGCCATAAATGAGGAAATATTATGCAGTTTTTTGTTCAATTAATTGAATTGATTAAGAAATTTGATGTAACTAGGAATTTGCTATTCATCTGCGTAATTAAAAAGAATATTACTGGAATTGTCGGCCACTTCTTCCAAGCAACGACTTTAGTAGAAAAGTTTGACATCTGTAATCTAATAAAAAACATCTACGTTAGTATTTTTAACCATTTTTTTTATTGTTATTTTGTTTTCACTTTATTAAACCTTATCATCAGTAAGGTTAAGGCAAAAAATATTGCAATCCTATATCCCCACAGCAAACGTGTGACATGTAACAAAATTTTTAATAACCAAGTATGTATTTTTTGAACAATCACATTACTTCTTCCTTTTTCTTAGACTGTACTTGTTTAGCTAGACGTAGGCTTCTCACTCCTCGTACGCATAAAAAAAATTACATGAGTTCGCCACAAAATATTTGTGTCTAAAGTAATATTTTAAAACAATTTGCACGCTACACTCTTTCGGACTTTTTTATAAGCCTTAATATTTAGGGAGAACTCGAGTATCGGCTTAGTAAAAAATAATCTTTCAATTTCAGTAGAATTTTTAGAAAATTAATCTCTTTTATCTATATATTTCTGTACAATTACTAAATTTGAAGTGTCTGTACGTAATATAAATAAATATATTTCGGGAACATAATGTATTCGCGTTGTTTATAGCGAAATTCAAACTTATACACTTTTTCCTGACTATGCCTGCAAATCCACGTTTCCGACTAATCTTCAAAACAGCTGGACCGATTTCTACGGAACTTGGACTAGAGTAACTACGGCTACCTTTTTTAAATTCCGCGCTGACGAAGTCGCCTGCGACAGTTAGTGCAAATAAAATTAATTAGAAATAACAAAGGTTTCTTTTTAATTTCAAAAAAGAAAAACAACCTTTACTAATTGGATCCTCGTTAATGTTTCTTAGTATAAAGTATTAGAGACTCCGAAGGGATTTTCGGAGTCTCTAATACTTATTATTTCTTTCGTATTATTCGATTTATCAAGGACGTACTGAAGCCCAGTTAATTATTGAAGAAATCTACAGATTGAAAAAAACATATCTTTTATATTCGTAGATAAAGAATTCAAAGTAAAAAATATTGAATCTACAATGCGAGAGATATTTTATTATTTGCAATTTCTCTTAAAGAAAATATTAAGTTAGTAATGTTCGGTATGAACTTTGCGTTAGGCAGAATTTCCGTGTAAAACCAATCGATTGCAATAATTTAAACAATCGTACTCAAGTACTGTTTCCTTTTATCAATTGCACTTGTTTGATTGTACTCACAACATTTACATTTCACGTTGAAACAATTCCGATATAAATTATAACGTAACCTAACTTAATTTTGAGTGTCTGCTGTCGAAACATTTTTATAAAAGTACAGTCATCCCTATCATACTTTGTTAAAAAATAGAGACAACAGCATGTTTATATATAAGTGTTACGATTGTGAAATCCACCCTTTTTACATTTATAGTTTGTTAGTAAAAAATAATCACTTTGGATAAGTTGATACGTCAGATGTGATACGAGATCTTAATTTTTGCAAAAAGATATAAGATTATGCTACCATATATGAGTAGGTATGTAAAACTTTAGGTGTAGAACGCAATACTGATCTTGGAGTTAGCGATAAGGACCGGAATTTACGAAAAAAGCTACCCGACGGGACCACCCAAAGGCCCAGCTGCCGCCCCGCTTATTTATTGTTTTAATTAAAACAACATAACTCAGGCTCCTCTGAACGCACCTATGAGACAGCTCGTAATTCTAAAGTTTAGCTTCTGTACGCAATCCTCGGGATAAATGACGCGTAAGCTTTTGCTGAGGGTGGCATTCAACGCACGATTTGTATCAAACAATTTTGTGATGCCACCCTACTAGGTTATTATGTATGGTTGTAGGCTATCTCTTAGTTACTTATTTATATAAAACCAAAGAAAAGAAATATCATAATAATTTATTTTATACTTCCACTTTAAGTTGCTTTCGTAAATATTTGCCTTACTGATTAATACGATTAATTATATCTTCGGTGAGCATATAACTTGGTATATTAGACGGCAGCAACAATAACAGCTATTGTATGAATTCCACAAAGGAGACAGGAGTAAAGTCTACACAATTCTACATTTCATCTAACGTCCGCGTTTCGAGTGTGCGTGTAGGAGACCTTATTTTAGTCCCCTATCCCTCCCACTCTTTTCTTATAAGGAAATAAGTAAGGGACGCATAGGAAGGGGATATATCCTTTTTCTGTGCCTCCTCGCTCCGTCGATTAAAGGTAGTCAACGCATTTGCAATTGCCGGTATGTATGGCCGCTTGCTCGTTTGCTACTTTATAATATAAAAGAATACCTGTGTAAAAAATAATTCTTTTATTACGTCTTTTCGCCTTCAATTTTTTTTTTCATAGTATCAGCCATTTTTTAATGAAGATCCTTATTACAATGTATGTTTTTGAAAATAGGTGGAAATAAAAGTGGAAATTATTATATAGTTCGTAATATTTTATTAACAGATTCGTTATAATTTGTTATAGTGACAGGAATATATTTTCCAGATATATATTGGTTGTTGTGCTTACTACATGAGATTGTTCCTTCTAACTTAACATCATTTACACATTACACTCACGTCTGCTTCTTAACTTAACTACACAATGAATAATAGGATAATTTAATTAATCGATTCCTATAACATATTACTGTAAGTTGTAACTTTATTAATGTCTTATCAATTTATACAAAGAGGAACTACAAGTGCGTGTACTTAGCTGGATTAATTGTGAATTTCTGTTGGAACACAAGTATAAGAACATTATTGTTATCTCTCTTATTATCAGAAAGATTGAAAGGGATGGAAATATTGTTATACATGTGTTACGACAGTAAATTCACATTACATCATAATTTAATGCTTAACACTACTTCAATGTGCAAGTTTTCCAAAAACTAATACAACATTTATTTCTAGTTCGCTTATTATCGTCTTTAAATATTTAATAATTATTATTATTTTATGGAAAAAATTCATACCTACCACTTACATTTATTCTTATTCAATAAATAAATAGTATATATTAATAAATCGATATTCATCGTTGTAATTTGCCCATCCCTATGTATCTACATTTAAGAGTCAGTGTATTTATTGAAACGATATCATTACTGCATTATAACTATATAATATAGAACAATAGTATTACATTAACATGAATCTATTAGATTTTTTTACAATTTCTTCCTCTTGTTAATCCGCTACAAGTGCAAAATTCTTCATGAAATTATTTCATAATAAAAAAATGCAGATATCCTTATGTGCAAGTAAAACCAAAGTTAATCTCCATATTCATTGATGGACGGAGATTATATCATAAATTGTTCAACAACTTATTTCATTTCTAAATAAATATAATTCCATAGAACGAACAAACATAAAAAAATAAATTAGTTTACACTTGGATTAAAAAAAATATTTACGATGCAAAAATAGTAATTCAGTATTGGAACTGGTGCACGTGACATTGAGCTTTCATATCAGCTGTAAGATTGTGCAGTTTTATAATTAAACATGGAGTAAACGTACATTTATAGAAACTGCTAAACATTAAAGATCCCACATATTTTTACATTTTATATTGATTTCACTTCCTTCCAACCACAATTTTTATACAGAGTCCACTAAATATATTTGACCAAGTGACCAACACTTGTTAAGTCCATTATAATTCTACACGATTTATTAAAAGCGCTTTTGAAGGTTGCACTTTTTAATGTCTCGTCCAGTTTCTTAGCGCTCATAAAGCGCAAAATTGTTGCTATGGACAGTCCATAGAGTTGGGGCTGGGCGGGCCCCCGATGACGCTGTACGGCGGACTGTGCGGAGGCAGCGACATGGGTCCGTGGTACATGTCCATCTCTAGCGTCGCGTCCGGAGAGCACTTCTCCGCCATTTTGTTTTCTTGCTTCGTCACCATTCGCCGCCATTTCGCACGAGCGTTCTGAAACCACACCTGCGAACAAAAAACACACGGTTAGTGTCGGCCGAGAGAATAATGCAAGCGCGCCCCGCATTGAAATGTCGCCAGCAAAATGAAAAGCCGATTCGCCATAAAAAGAATACGAGTCGTAAAGCGACGACGATCCAAATAAAGTATAACTCTGGCTTAAAAGTCTTCGAATGTTCCTCCATGATACCGTCTTCGTTATTCGAAGTACCTAATTATGCTCCGTTGGAGCACAAAGTTGCTTTTGATGCGGAAGCTTTGTTTTTTTGAGACTCCTGACATCACAGACTGCTTGGTGAAGGGGGAAATTTACCTGTAAATAATATAAGGATAGCAGGAGGTTAGCATGGCGAGTTGTGTTCAATTGAGTTGAATCTCTAGCGCTCAAGAACTTCGGCATCCTAACTAGTCTAATAGCAGATAATGCTTTATGGAAATATATTTTAATTCCGTTCATAAACGATTAGGTCAATTATTCATCTCTATTGCCTCAAACTTTTTTTAAAGATTCTTTTGTGCACTTAAGCACTTGTAAAAAGTATAACTAACTTTAAATAGTGTAAGAAAGTACTTTTAATATTCAATAGTATTCGTCGGAAGCTAGTATTCAAATATTGTTTGCGTGAGTTTGCGCATGCGCGCGAGTGGCACGGCCAATCGTGCGCGGCCGCCGCTAGCCCCGCCCCGCGCGGTATGGCCGCTACTGACGCTGCCTAATGCCAAATTTAGATTAGCGCTTATTTCGTATCCGTCACTATCGAGGAGCGTAAATATAACATCTTTTTATTATCGAACCGATTTTAGCACACATAATAAAGGCACTCACTCGCGTATTTATTGAATTTTTTCCCCTAACCGAATGACAATCGTAAGGAAATATTTATTACAAATTAAAACGATTAAAGAGAACTTGTAGCCTTGATATGGTGCGCGTCCATGATCACCGATTCAAAATTGAAAAACTACTTAAAAATATTTAAGATAACTAAAGCATTTAACTAATTTTAATATTTTTTCTTACTAATTTCCTTTTTAATAAGCACTGCTCACACGTCAGTAAAACACTTCCTAAAAATGTGTAACATTTCGTCGTACTAATTACCGAAAGCAGCCCGCTCCTGTCATTCCTCGTGTATATTCATCATAAACTGAGAAGCGAGAGGTGATAGTGTCTCAAAGTGAAGCGATGAGAAATGGGCGAAAAGCGCGGGAGACGACGTGAGCGCGGCCACGATTGATGATCCCACGTCGACACATACCGGCGCTGTCAAAGTCAAGATAAACCCGCAGCGCGGTGGTCCCGGAAACATAAACTCTCGTTTCCACTGTCGAAACAATTGTGTGAATATCAGCTTGTACACCTCACCTAGAGGCTCGGATTCTAGCTTAAGTTGATGACTCGGCCCACAATAGTCAAAGTATCAACCATGATAGCAAAGTATCCACCACGATACCCAAGTGTGGATATTAGATTTTCTTCGCAATTTTATAGAACATTTGAATCTATTTGAGGACTATTGCTGTAAAGGTTCAGGTCAAACGGTTACGCGTACCTACTTACATATAAGCTGTTCTCACATTATTAAGATCTTAGCTAACCGTCGCCATTCATTCTGATGTTTAAAAATACCCGTAATCGCAAACTATAACAATCATAATTCATTTGCACGTTTGTGTTTCTTTACTGTTAAAAATATTGTCTTTGTGTTGAAAAATGTTGCAAGTTAATAGCGTTATAAGCGACATTTACAAAGAGACAAAATACTTATTGAGTGTCCATTAAACGCTTGACACTTGTGAATTGGGTCGTAATAGTGTTATTCTTGTAGCCAACACAAATAAGTTCGCGCATCGGCATTAGACAAGTCATTTGTTACGTCACGTCCAGCCGAGTGACGTTTCAAAATAACTTTTCTCATACAAAACTACATCTCAATTTGCTTCGCTATGATCTCAATGTACTAATGGGAAAGATGTGAAAATAATATGAATTCATGTCTCCATATAAACCACTTTACTATAGAATTTTTCATATATAGTTTAAGAACTTTCCTACACGTCAAACACGCATGGAATTTTTGTTATGAACAAAACATTCAGTTCAACCGAAACTAATTGGCTCGAAGTACTTTTTTGAACAATTAAATTTTAATATTATACGGTATAACGTATTATGTTTTTGTTTTCAGGCAAAGAAATATGACTAACTTAAATTAGATAACAAACCTGCTCAGTTTATCGTGATACTCATGCGTAGGTCGTCAACCTTCGTATTATCTTTTACATACATTTTAAAGGGACTAAGAAAATATAAATAAGAAATGTGTGAAAATATTTACAAGAAAATACCATCAATATTTTGCAGGTTTTACAAGTTTTTTTAATTATGCGATAATGATCTTGGGTAAGTACATAAAATAAAATACTAATAAAATGTAAATAATAGTACATTATGAGATAAATTACTATCCAGAAGAGTAAAATTAACATATTTTTCTAAATTGTCACAACACACGCGACGTTCGACTATTAAATTTGAAGGTTAAAACATTTTATTCGTAAAAAGACGCTTGTTTAGATTTGTGTTGCAATAAAATAAATAATATAAACATTAAATCGGCGGGAACGAAATATATAAGCGAGATGTATATTTTAAAATACCGTCTAAACTAAATGCCTCTCATCTAACAAAATACTACCAGCAGTCTTCAGACACAGTTACTAGTAGACTTATGTCCATGGGCTGATTTGAAGTGAACATCTGTAATATCAAATATATTATATGTATTCTATATATTTCCTGCTTATCTTTGAAATAGCATGATCAGTTGTACAGATTCAATTGTATTGTCCAAAAAAGGGACAGTACTTGGTAAAAGCTTGGAGTAAATTGGAATTGTCTATAAATAATTTTCTAAATGGTGCCGTGAATTGACTTAAATCATAACGAAATGTGATCAACGTGAAATGAAATAAAATAAATGAAAAACAAAATGAATTTAAGTAAAGAGATTTCCCCCACTTGACAAATTTCAAAAGGAATTCATAAGTAGACCCTAATAAATGTCCAAACAAACATGTGATCAAAGGCGCTCAAATATTCAGCGTATTGTAAATAAAAACTGTAGAGATGTGATTAATAGTCGCGTTTCCTTATATAAATAATATTTAAATAAATTAGGAGGTAGACACGGCACGTCCGCCTGGCGCGAGTGCGCGCGACCGAATGACAAATGGATGCCTTTTGAAATCGCGGCGGAAATTATCTGCCCAACCGAGCGTCTCAGGGCGATGCGTTGGTACTAATTACTAGAGCGTTTGATTGTGATCACCACGCGCCCGCGCAAGCAGATCTCGCCTTTAATCGACATTCTTTAAATTCATTTTCGAGCGAGACACCGCATTCATTATTGTCACCAAATGTACTTAGAAAGTAAAATTATATCGGGCCAAATGTCGAGGTGTGACCATCCGATACTAATTGCCGGTTTCGAGACGCCTTCAGCATTTCTTTGGTTATTTGTGTGCCATTGCAGGCATCTTTATTGTATCTCGAGTCATAGCATGAAAACGATTTAAAAATAACCAAGTGATTGTATTTATAAATATGAGTTTGAATAATTCTATATACACCAATTACCCTTTGCATCGTTGTATTATTTTAACTATTATCTAAATTTAGATATATTGAATATGTGATATTGTAATACATCAGTCATATCATTAAAATAAATGGTACGTAAAAAAAAGTCGCGTAGCATTTATGGTGTACTCTATACCGATTGATCGTGTGACACGCCCGAAAAAGGAAAGGTACTTTTTCAATCGACTAATTACGCAGCACTACTTGAACCCGAGTCATTTTTCAGGAGGGAAGAAGAGAAAAAAAAAGAACGGAACGAGTGACAAATCACGCAATTGCGGACGCACGGAGAGAAATATGGTGCGGTTTGTTCTAAATACGCCAGCGCTTCGACTTGGAGTCGTCGCGGGCGCATATATTACTAAGGCGCCCGGGCCAATTAGACACCCGCTCTCTCCACACTAACACGCACCTGCTTTTATGTTTTTATAAATATTTTGTATTAAAGAAATTGCTTTAAGTTTAAATCTTAATTCATTGTTTGAAATAGTAGGGTGTATGTTCTATATTTTAACCGTAATGATTTTTTTCATTAGCTAAATGTGCTATAAAAGATTTGCGGAATAACATCAAAGAATTTCATTTACTAAGATTATTCATTTAAAATTTAGACTACATCATAATAATAATGAATATCTAATTTTAACATCAATTTTGTAAAAACAATTAAATGCAAATATAAATTTAACAAATAAAAAAATAGTAATTTGCTAGCGGCAAAGTCGTTTTATGTTGCTGAATTTGATACTGTATTTGTAGAGTCCTTGAATTAAATACAATATATAGAATAAATGTTTAATGCATTAACATATTTAAAAATTTCACAACCAATTTCACTGTTTAGAAAATAAACCACATGCGGGTATAGTTTATCTGAACTCTGTCAGATTCTATCTATAAAAAATAAACCGCGTCCCTTAACATTTCTCCACGGGAGCGTACAACCAAAAGTCGGTATATACAAAACGAAAAAGCCCTTATCTCGGCAAAATGGCGACGGCAAGCCGTAAGCTTTTTTCCAAAAAAATCTCGATCAATATTCGGAGGTTCAGAGGGAGAGGTTCTCTTTGCCTTCGTATAATTGGTTGGAGGGAAATTTATGCGGCGCGCGCTATCTGCGTCGGGTCAGCTCGGCTTGGCTCGGTATGTCGATAACTGGTAAGGGGACCCTGCCTACCGATCTTATGTTTCGAAGACGACATCTCTTGGGTATGTATGAAGCCATTGTTATACGTATAGTCCAAAAAGAACACGGCTAAACTTCTTCGGCATATCCCGATCGCGTTTGTATGCTTCATTTATTTATTTTTCCCCTAGATTCTTTCTCTTCACTCTACCATAGCTTTTAAAAAATATTAGAGGC